TTTTTCCCTTGGTGATAAAACACATGTAATGCTATTTTAGGAATTAGGACATTTAAAAGATATAAAGAAAAAAGGATAATTTACAATACTTCGGTGACTTTTTGTATGCATATAAAGGGATAGGAAATACATACACGTATGTATGTACCATGTACACTTTTATAGCCTGATTTTTTTCATTTAACTTGCATCATGATTATTTTCCCATCATGAATTACTGTTTAAAAATACTATTCTTAAAGAGCTGCATTTTGAAATCATTTGGATTTATCATTATTTAATCACAGCTCTATTGTTGAACACTTAGATTGCTTCCAGAATTTCTTGCTTTTATTGATATTATAGTAAACGTCTGTGAAGAGTATATCTCTTTAGCTATTGCTTAGATATGAGCTCTCTGAAAGCAGAGACCTCTGAATCCCTAGCACCTAGAAGAGTGCCCAGATGTATTAGTTGCTTAACTAAAATAAAACAATTATTGATAGAATGAAACAAGACTATTAAATGTCCAGTTCCTCTTACTTCCTCAATTTTGATTCCATGCATACCCAGGAACCTTCTGATTATAATTTGACTACCCATATAAATTTGACTGTAATTAAAGTATTGGCCATATGTCCATGAGCAGGCATTCTTGCTTCTGTCACAGTAATATTCATCATTCTGTATTAATAAAGTTATGTTCAGATCCTGTTGAAGTATGATTAATTTTTTTTATTGCTTTTAAAGGGTGTAGGCAGCTACCTTATTGATACTGATAAAATCCCATTCCTGTAAGGCTGCAGATTGGGCCTGGGTTGTGGTTAATCATCAAGGTAATTAATATCACTCTATCAAGAACCCTCAAAGGAAGACAGTCTGTTAGCCTTCACCTGGTAGAAATTCGTGGCAGTACCGCGTTTTCCAATTTGAATCCTGTGGTACCCTGGAAAGACAGATGTTTGACTCACTTAAAACAGTATTTTAACATTTAATACAAACACATTGTGTCTGATAACTTTTTCCTTAAAAATGTATTTTATTGCCACACAGAAATTAGTTTCTGAGAGGAATACATGTGTGCAAAAGTTTGGGATAGTTGTATAATCATAAAGAAGTTTTAAAAATAAATGTGCAGTGTTTATATTTTCTTTGAAAGAGCAGTATCATCTTACTTTCCTATGGTAATAAAAGCATATTATGAGGAATTTTCAGATCAGGTTCACAGATTTATTGTACCTGGGGAAAACTAAAGTAGAAAATTAGAGAATTTCTCATTTTATTAGTGGAAGACTAGTGAAGAAATCTTTTAACTGAAAGATCTGATTTAAAACAGATTTTTGTGCTGGAGGCTTCTATTGCTCTACCTAAATCAAGTAAGACCCGCTGTCTGTTAGTCTCCCATGACCCTAAAAGCTATAGAAATACTTCTTTATATTCCATCTAGGTCTTTTCTGTTGCACTTTATGCCTACATCATGTTTTGCCCCCAAGGGAATCACAATAAAACTGTGTCCGTGTTCATACAACACATACAAAGATCATTCACTTATTTCATCAAGCGTTCTCTTTGGTTATGGGTCTTGATTTCAACTGTCCAGGGTTTGGCTTGGACAGATTAGATCAGCTGCTAAAGACTTAGATATCTGAGTACCTTTAACTGGAGTATCTCTCTCCTGTTCCCACATCAGTCTTGGGGGCAGTATTTTATTGAGTATGACCTCTAGGTTATAAAATGTTTCCCAGCCCTGGCCATTATGGCTTAGTTGGCTGAGCAGTCCTCCCATGCATTAAGAGGTACCCCAGTTTGATTCCCAGTCAGTGCACGTGCCCTGATTGCATCTCAATCCCCAGTAGGGGGTGTGCGAGAGGCAGCCAATTGATGTTTCTCTCTGCCTTCCACTCTTTAAAATCGATAAAAACATATTTTTAAAAATGTTTCCCAGTTTGTGTTATATGAATCACAAGTCCTTAAAATAATCTTTTAATTCACCGTGTTAAAAGATTCCAGAGTCAGAGATTGGGAAATTCTGTTCCTTCTTTATGCGATTTACTTGTTTAACCCATTATTACCCAAATTTATTTTACTCTCAGAACACTTTCTTTTTCCCCCTCAGACATCTAAGAAAATATGTTTTGTTGAACACACTTGGACAAATGATGCTTTATATGATTACCTTTATTGTTTTTCTGTTTGTTAGTTTGGCTCAATTTTATTTTATTTTATTTATTTATTTATTTTTATTATGAACTTTTATTTATTTTTTTGTTACAGATATTTTACCTTTTTACCCCATTGGCACCCCCCACCCCACCCCCCCTCCACCCTGTCCCCGGCTTAGTTGTCCATGTCCATTGGTCATGCATACATGCATATAAGTTCTGTGGTTTATCTCTTCCCACCCCCCCACCCCCCATCCCCTCTTCTGAGGGATGTCAGTCTGTGCCCTACTTCCATGTGTCTGGGTCTACTGTATTCCTCAGACTGTTATGTTCATTATATTCCGTATATAAGTGAGATCATGTGGTATTTGTCTTTTTCTGCTTGGCTTTCACTTAGGATAATACTTTCCAGGTCCCTCCATGTCGTCTCAAAGGATAAGAGATCTTTCTTTCTTACAGCTGCATAGTACTCCATTGTGTATATGTAGCACAGCTTTTTTATCCATTCGTCTACTGGTGGACACTTGGGCTGTTTCCAGATCTTAGCTATTGTAAATAGTGCTGCTATGAACATGGGGGTACATATATTCTTCCTGATTGGTGTTTCAGGCTTCTTAGGGTATATTCCCAGCAGTGGGATCACTGGGTCAAATGGAAGTTCAATTTTTAATTTTTTGAGGTAGCACCATATTGTTTTCCATAGTGGCTGCACCAGTCTGCATTCCCACCAGCAGTGTATTAGAGTCCCCTTTTCTCCACACCCTCGCCAACACTTGTTGTTTGATGATTTGTTGATGGCGGCCATTCTGACAGGTGTGAGGTGATACCTCATTGTTGTTTTAATTTGCATCTCTCTGATGAGTAGTGATGTTGAGCATTTCTTCATATGTCTCTTGGTTTGGCTCAATTTTAAAGTTTCAAAATTTTGTTGCAGGTTTTAAGTTTTTCTTATAATTTTTCTAAAATAGTTACTTTCTTAGTCTGAAATGTCTCCATTGTTTCAATGATTAATTCATTATGTAGATTTCCCCACAACTCATCTAAAACAAATTGTTAAATTATTTCTTTAAATTTTGAAGTGTGTCAAATATGAGAATATAAAATATATCTGTACAGTGTAAGGAAAAATATTGAAATAGAACTTTACCAATGTCCTTGTATGCCCTTCCGCCTCCCAGTGGTAATGAATGTCTTTAATTTTGTGGTAAGCATTCCCTTGCTTTACTTGTAGTAGTTTTATCACCTAAGACTAGATCCCTTTGAGTCAATGTTATTTTCTATTTTAAAATATTTGCTTATTTTTAACTTTATTTTTTAAATCTATTTTTATTGAATTCATTGGGGTTACATTGGTTAAATGGAAACATACAGTATGTATGTATTATATTCTATGACTTGTTTTTTTTTCAACTTTGTTGTTTCTGAGTTTATCCATGTAGTGATACTTTGTTCTTTTTCACTGCTGTGTAGTTTTCAGTTATATGAGTGTATATTTTTATTCCACTTCTGTTGGTGGTCATTTGTGTTTCTTCCAATTTTTTATTTTGTCTCTAGGAACAATGCTTCAGTGACTTTGTTAAGCACTGGCCCCTGTTTCACATGTGCTGGAGTGTCTTTATGGTATATACCTAGGAGCACAGTTGCTTGGGCATTGGAGATGTGCATGTTCAGATTTACTGAGTAGTATCAAACTTTTCTCCAAGATAGTTGTACCAATTTGTACCTTCACTAGCAGTGAATAGAAGTTCCTCAACAAAACTAGATATTGACAGCTTTTTAAGTTTATGCCTATCCAGGTGTATGAAATCATATCTCATTAAGTTTTTAATTTTTATTTCTCTGATTAGAATTATAGTTGAGCATCTTTAATTTTGTTTATGGGTCATTTGTGTTTTCTGTGACATTCTATTTGGGATTTTTGCTCATTTTTAATTTTGTTTGCATTTTTTCTGTATTGATTCATGGAATTTTTTATGAAATTAAGACACTTTTATATTGTTTAGAATAGTGCCTGATGCATAGTAAGAACTAAATAAAAGTAGCTGTTAATAATATATTACTGTTGCTGTATTTAATTATTTGATTTTAGGTGTTGCAAATATGCTATTTTTGTGGTTATTTTTCCTTCTATGATACTAATATGTGTGGGTGTTTTTTTTTAACCTTAGTATTTTAATATGTATAGATTAGGTTTTATATAAAATCTTGAAAACATAATAATAATCTTGACATGTTTATTTGGCATATGTTGTATTTCATGACCTATAACTTTCCAATCTTTATTGCCATTTTTTTTTTTTGTTGTTGCTACTGTTTTTTTTTTTTAACCCTGGGAAAAATGAACCCACTTAATCCACTGTTCAAATTTATTTTATTTGTAGGTGCATCTGTCTCTCCAAATGTATTGTAATTATTTTAGCTTCATGATTTTCAAAGTTTCATACTCATAACGTAGGGACTGAAGTCTGTAACAGCTGCCCATAAGAGATCCAGAAGAATCTTAAATTACTAATAGCGTTGAGTCTTTATGATGTAAAATCACAGACTTGATAAGTTCATTAAAGTATGTTACTTGCTGGCCAAATTATCAGTGTATTATTTTTTTTTAGCTTAGTAGTAGTTCAAATATCTAATCATCTTATGATTGATTTTTCCACATTCTGGAGGAATGGCAAAGGAACATGTTAACAGTATAATTTTCAAATTAACAACAGTAATGATAATGATAATAATTATTTCTTTAAATTGACCACTTATTGTGTGTCAGGTACTGTTCTAAATTTTTAATAACTCACAAGAATCCCTTTGATTAATGAGAATACTAAGGCTCAGACAGATTAATTAACTTCTTAAAAATCACACAGCTAGCAAGAGTGGAATCAGGAATTCAAACTCAGGCAGTCTAGTTGCAGAGTTTTAGAAGTAGATTCATAAGGTATTTATCAACTTGATATCCAAAGAAGTGTTTATTCATATTTAGCTTTAAGAGATGAATTCACCTAAAACTCATTTTTTGTTTGTTTTGTTTTTAATGTGATAGGGAAAGAATGGGAAATACATTCTCAGTGTGGTAGATGGGATCAAGTACTTTTAAGGTAGGAAAAGCTTGGAGCTGGTGTTGCCAGATGTTTTAGGCTTCCGTTATGAACAGCTTTGGATCTCTGTGAATGGATCATGGCCTGTGAAAGATTTCAGGAAATTCATCACTTTTCATTCAGTCCCCCATATGCCATATTCTCATATTTAGAGAGTAGTCAATAGAGAATAGTTTTTAAAATACCACAGAGGGTCCCAACTGATTTTCAAACTTGGATAACTAGTTACTATTCATTTGAGATAGATCCCTCTTAAAAGACTGATGTAGGAACTCACATAAATATTTGGTAAATAGCTAAGCATATTAGGTTAAGAAAATTTTCCTCTTAATAATCTTTATTTTGGATTTAAAACATTCATTGGTTCATGAAACAGTTTTTTTTTTTAGGTTGCTATTAGTGCTTTGGCTGTTGGCTACTTTCAGATATAATTTTCACTCAGCTATGGTTTCTTTATTTAGCTATAGATTAAATACTTATATGAACTAAGGTCCGTGCACTTACTGTAAAAATTATAGTGTTAAATTGCTAAATGAAAAGAATGAAATAAGTTAAATAGCTTTTTAGCCATTCTGAGTAGAATTAGCAGAGTTGGAATAATCATGTATAGGAAAGGTAGTTAGTATTGAGGTGATACACTTGGAGGGCATTATGCTGATGACTCAGCTAGGGTGTGTATCTTAATGGAAAAGTTTGAAAACTTCTATGGGATTTAAATAATATGCTTTTTCCTCTGTTGCTTCCCACTCAAGGAGGGACTAGCAAGGTAGCTCTTTTCCCTCCCTTGTATGGTCATAATAAAGGACTGCAAATTAATTCATTGCATTCAAGGCATCACACAGATTGAATTCCATATTTGTCTTGGAGGGAAGTCCAGACTTCTGTTTGGAGTGATTGAATCTGGGCTTTGTGAGACTGGGTGCAACTTCCTTGTATTCAAGGGCAGGATCATCTTGTCAGCCGCCAAATGCCTTACAAGATCTAAGTCCCTTAGAAGAAATGAGTCCCCCAAATGTGGTTTGTTTTTAATGTTTCTCTTTACCCTCTTTCACCCCTCCCACTGCCCTGCCACACACACAATGCATCCGATAAGTATTGCACCTGCTTGCTATTTGGCAGTCAAGTCCGTGAGGATTAATTGTGGACATTGTTTTCTCTGTGAGTTGGGGACACAAAGTTGCTCTTTAACCTTTTCCCAAGTCTCAGATAAATACTGAAAACTTTGGCAGTTGAATGTGTACTATAACAGAAACACATAAATATTGGGAAAACAAATGTACACACCAGAAATCTGAAAAGCATTATTTTCTAAATTAGCTCCTTTTATGACTAGATTAAAGGTGGCCTTGATGTGTCAAAAAAAGAAACTTTATTAGCTTTTTTTTTTTAGACCCTCATGACCTTTATGCTATGTTGACAAAGCCATTTTGTGTTTGATTTGTTAAAAACAAGGGTGGGGACTTTATACTTTGCTAATTCCTGTGGAGTGGTTATGATTTGTTTCATGGAACAGGTCCAGTATGAGAGGTAGAGTGGTAGAGGCCCCAAGGCAGGAGCCTAATGCTGGCTCCATTTCCAAGTGTGTGACCTTATGCAGGTCTCCTCAATTTTCTGGGCCTCGGATTTTTTTTTTTTTTTAATTCTTACCTGAGGACATTTTTGCATTTATCTTCAGATAGAGTGGGAGGGAGAGAGGGGGGAATAGAGACAGAAACATCGATGTAGACACATTGGCTGGTTGCCACCCACATGACCCCAACTGTGGTGGGGACAAACTGCAACCAGGATACATGCCCCTAGTGGGAACCAAATGCAGGACTCTCTGGTCCGCAGGCTGGCGCTCTAACCGCCAAGCCAAACTGGCCAGGGCTGGGCCTCGGATTTTTAAAGCAGAGATAATAATACCTGCCCACATACCTCACGTGGTTTGAGAGAGGCAGTACTGCATGGTGGTGAAGAGTCCTGGGCTACTGAGTGTGACAGGTTTGTTTTGGTTGTATGTCATTGGATAAGATGCACATTTTCTCCAAGACCCATTTTTTTGTACTGCAGAATGGCAGTACCACTGCTTAGGATTAACGCAAATATCAAAATCAAATGAGATTTTATATATATAGTGTTAAGCATATTACCTGGCACATGATTAATGTTTTGTTAATTATTACGAGTTATGTATAGGGTAGGGCAAAAGTAGGTTTACAGTTGTTTGTATGGAAAATAATACAATAATTAATAAATAATAATTAAAGAATACTCTGTGTTTCACGTACTCACAGTTGTAAACCTACCTTTGCCCCCACCCTGTATTGCAATTGTCAGTAATATTTGGGGTGGTATTAACATTTTATAAAGTTATAGGTATAGAATGGAATGATCAGATTTCAAGGTTTTGATGTTTAGTACTACAGGTTCACTGCTGAGAAAATCTGAAAGTGTAAGGAGCTGATAATTAAAAAGATAGGCAGAATTTTCTAATTTCAGACTAATAGTTTTCAATAACAGGACATTGTCTAGATGATCTAACGTTTCATCTTCATTCAAATAAAGATAATAGTTTTTAAGGGAAAAATGTTGCTGTTATATAAAAACTGAGACAAAAGTTTATATGGTTTATGGCACCTGGGACTGACCGATCACTTCTAATACTTCTCATAGCCCCCTTTTGGGGGCTCAGATAAAAGGCACTATATAATTTATAAGGAAAAAAATATCTTCTATTATAGACTACACATGGGGAGTAGTCTAACTCTTAAATGGCTAGAATTTAACTATCCATATCATTGTTTTAAGAAATAACAGTGAGGATTATTGCTGATATTAAAACGTGGGGGGTTTAAGAGAAAAATCACAGAGGGGCATAAAATCACCTGATAAAGAATTTTTATCTTTCTTTACTTGTGCTTTTTATCAAGTCATTGCTACTGTGGCCAGTGAGCAGGGAGTTAACTCCCTGTACCAGGGGGCACTGTCTATTTCCTTTGTTTATTAACTTATTACCTTCTACACATAACCCATATTTATTAAGCACCAACTCTGTGCTAGGCACTGTACTTGAAGCTGTCATCCACCGATGATGAATAGATGCTAGCATTCCATGCTATAGTTTCTATATTATCTTGAAAAATGAGGGAAGAAATATCATAGCAGAGTACCTAAAATCTGCATTTCTAAAATCTTTGCTTCATTTGTACTTTGAAGAAGGAACTGATTTTTTTGTTGTTGTTAATCAGAGAAACATCGAATCAGTGTGAGACACATCAATTGGTTGCCTTCCGCATGACCCCAACCCTTGACCGGGGCCAGGAATCAAACCTGTAACTTTTCTGTATTCAGGCCAGTACTCTAACACTGAGCCAAACTGGCCAGCACAGGAACTGATTGTTCATTGTACATTAACAACCATTTACTCATACAACTTAGTATACTTTTCTTTTCCTACTCCAAAACCCAAGGTGTTGCTTTAACAGTGTCTCAGGACTCTCCACTAATACTGCCTTGATTCAAGCCCTTATTATATCCTGCTGGATCATTTTAGTTATCTCCTAACTACTAGTTAAACCTCCCTCCCCTTCTTTGTTTTTCTCCTCTGTCTTCCAAACACTGCCAACCACCACTAAATCTAAGTCCTTGTTCCAGCAATTCATCTAAAATGTAAATTGGATTGAATCATTTCCAGGCTTAGAATCTTTAAAATGCCTTCCTTTTCCCTTTTCAAGACTCTGTCCAAATTCTTGGGCATCACATTCGTGGTCCTTCTCAATATGGTCCCTACTTTCCTATCCAGTCTCATCAGACACTTTCTTTTACCACCTGCATATGAAATTGTTTCCAGTTCCCTGCTCTCTCACACTATAAAAGCCTTTTGGTATTTTTGACTCCATCATCTCTTACATTGTATTGTTTTCATATGTTTATACAAGTATCTTTCATGATTAGTCTGGATCTTGAAGGCAGAATTCTGCATCATTTAACTTTATATTCTACCCACATGTAATACTGCCTGGTACATAGTACACATTTCCTAAATGTTTGACAAATAAATGAGGGATTAAAGATACTCCCATGTGGCCATAGTCTAGTATCAGTAACATTTGCAGTTCTTAACTGTATTATACAATAACTATGTTTTATAATTCTAGTAATCGTGTTATAGTTAAAAGGGAGTTTAGATATCATTTCATCCAACCCTTTCATTTTTTTCAGACGTATAAACTCAAAACCAAAAAGAGTGAGTAAATAAGACCAGAGCACATAATTGACTAGTAGCCTGAGGACTAACCCTGGCCTGGCTGCCTGACCCCCTTGTCATGAGAAGGCCTAGCAGACTGAAATTGGGCAAGACTTTTAATGTGATGATGGTTGAATCATCATTTATTTTAGTTTGGGATTAAAAATAACTTTATTATAGGAAAATTTAAATATGCACAGAAGTAAATAGGACAGTATAATGTATTCCAGTGTATCGTCACCAGCTTAAATAGCTATCAAATCATGAGCAGTCTTGTTTTATCTTTATTATTTTATAGCACATCCTTGGTGTTATATTATTTCATCCAGAAATATTTTAGTATGTGTGGGATATATCTTTGATCTTTTATAAGGGGTCTCTCTGGTATTGGGAAGTCATGATACTTCAGACAAAATGATGAAGCTGATGGAAGCCCTGGCTCCAGAAACCCTGCTGCCCCTCCCACTGGGCAGTGGTCTTCTTTCTAGTGCTCTCTCCTCCCTCTACCAGGAGCTCCCAGAACTGGCACTTCACTGAGCCCTTCTCACTGAGTTTCCTTTGTCCATATGCTCAGGAGAGAATAGTGCTTTTTTATTTTAACTCTGCTAAATGGGCCCCGCCAGTATCGCTCAGTGGATTGAGCATCCTCTCATGGACTGAGAGGTCCCACTTCGACTCCTGGTAAGGGCACGTGACTGGGGTTGCGGGCTCGATCCCAAGTAGGGGTCGTGCAGGAGGGAGCCGATAGACATATTTCTCTCATATCGATGTT